GGATGAAATTAGAAAAATAGTTATAATTCATAATAATTAGATTAACCTAAAAATTGAAAGATGTGTCAAAACAAATGACAGATGTCATGAAACATTGATTTTGATTGAAGGCTTTGCAATTTTGCGCTACAACATAACTTACAGCTGCATTCGCCAATAATTCCCATTTAAATATTCACTTGCTACTATTATTATGGGACAGAGGAAGTAATTATTAGTAAGTCGTTCTTGTGTAATAGAGGGGAATGGAATTTTAAGGCTGGAAGAGCTCCTGCATTTTTATAGATGAAAAATTGAAATACACAGAGATTGATTAGCTCAATAGTATTATATCACTATTATCTAGATCTTTTCCTCTGGAGCTTTTTCTCCTGTTCTAGAGATTGTGTATTTATCTAGTTGTTAGATGAGAGCAAATTAGATGAGGCATCCTAGAATGTGTGTTTTTGTCCTGTTTCATTAATCATTACTCTTATTTGATTAATAATTTAAAGAGATTTTAAAATTTGTTTTTAATGTGAGTTTTTTATTTAGATTCACTAGGTTTTTATTTATTTTTATTCAAGTAGTAGTTTGTCAATATTCTTTTATTGTATTGATAATTTGCATTAAAAATTATTTTCACTTTTGAAAGAATTTATTTTCTATAATAAATTCAGCCAGTAATAAATTTTTGAAAGTGCTTAAAATGATTATAATGGGTAAATGTGGTTTTTAGGATTATAGTGTATAGTTATATGTTATCCAGACTTTTTGTTTTTGGTCTGTCAGGGAAAGTAATTATTAATAACATATGAAGAGTTTGCCAAGATCTATTTGTGTTAACTAAAGAAAGGTCTGCCACTGGAGCTGAAATGCATCATAGTATACTTTTTTTTCTTTAATAAGTGTAATCCTCTACCAAAACACAGTTTGAATCCCAGGACTTGAAAAAAAAATGGACAACTCAGTGAAGATGAATTAAAAATCCTGATTATTTTTAGTCCAATGATTCCAATTTTATTGTTTAAAAATGTCATAATGAGATTGCACAGGTTACTTCTCTTCTGTGTATAATCTGCTCGGAGAGACGTCTGCAGACCCACTCTGTAAAAATATAGTTCTGAATGTAGGATCTTTTCCCTCCCAAGTTCTGGTTCTTTTCCTGGCAGGCACTACTTTCTTCCTGAGTCTTCAATCAAGAGACATATCACATGTTCCCTTCTCAGGGGAGAGGCCCTTTAGGTAGTGCTTCTCTGGTTTACCTGTGTAATTGCCCTTTAAAAAAGGGCCAAAAGAATTTTTGCCAAACAGTGCATGTATTAGGACTCCTTTTCCTGTGATTACTCTATTTTCAAATCAAATGCATAAGAAACAACAATGTTTTGAAAAATACTAAATGAAAACATGGTGTAAAATACATTCGCTCTTGGGAAGTATTTTTTTCATTTATAATTTTTGTTGAATGAACTCATAAATTGATTGTAAACATTTCTATTTTGTTTTTTGATTCCACAGTCCATACGGTAACACTGTTTCTAAATATCTTCGGATGCTTGGCTTGGTTTTGTGTTGATGCTACAAGAGGGGTTGATTTTGGATTGAGTATCCTGTGGTTCTTGCTTTTTACTCCTTGTTCATTTGTCTGTTGGTACAGACCACTTTACGGAGCTTTCAGGTAAAATGTGTGTACTTTAAAATATGCTCTTTAAAACCTGTGAAGTAAATACTCATGGTACACTTTAACGGGAAAATTGACATTTTCATTAAAAAAAATTTTTATTATTGTATAACACCTTCAGAAAAGTCGATATATCATATGCATGTGTATTCAATCACAAGTGGTCATTATAGCCTAAATCTTAAATGAAACTAGGTAATGTAAATGCATGTAATGTTTAAAGTGAATCACTTTCACCTAGCAACTTTGTAAGTATGTTCTGTGTAAATTCACTTTTGGTTTTTCAAAAGACAGCAACATTTTAAAACTATTTAGACTATAAGATGAAGTATAATACTTTTCATGGTATATTTAATTGTTGGTTAGGAGTAACATTTCCTAAATGCATATTCTGTGGGCAATTAGTAGGTGTTGTGGAAAAAAACAGTTCATTAGTTTTCCGTTTGGGAAAGGCTGGATAATAAAGTTAAGCAAGTTACTTCATTTTAGGATTTCTTAGACTCTTTAAGAGCCTAGTGTGTTTTATGATTTGACCATGAAACCATTATTATTATACTTATTATTTTGTCAAGCACCTTTTTCGACTATTGTTTTAAGAAATAAACATTGGGAAATGCTGATTTAGATGCTAGCACTGTTTGAGTCCACATATTCAGTTGTTTATCAACTCATTTTTATTTGAATAAACTAATTTATGAATAATGAACCTCTTTCAACTCTCATGAATGAGAGGTAGCATTACTGAGAAATAGGCATGTACCAGTATTGTGCAGATGATATATTAGGGAAATGAGAGGGTCACATTCAATTATTTAACTTTTTTTCCATTTCAACATAAAATTTCTTTGGTTAACTAGAATGTTTACCATCCCCACCTCACACACACAAAATATGGAATTAGAAACCCAGATATGTAAACAGATGGGGTTGGGGGGACAGAAAGAAAAGAGAGAAGATTGAGAATTTGGAGAGAAAAGGTGTCACTCAACAGAAAACTAAATTGGTTAGAAATAAAATGCAGGGGAAAATAGGTGGGAGGAGAGAAAATGAGGAAAGAACCTTTGGGTATATATTGAAATATGGGAGGTTGGTTGTCAAGGAATGGGGCGAGGGACCTCTGTAAATGTGGGTTGGAGAGAAATTAAAAGGAACTATCTACTTTCTGCATGATGTAGGAAGAGAGTTCTTTTCCTTGTTATATAAGCCCGGCTCACAAGGTTTATCAATTTTTAATTTTTTTGACATCTGGCCTCTGCCTGCCTACTTTTGTCATGTTACCAGTATAACCATAATGATACTGGTGGGTGGCAATGGGGATGTATCAATTTGAAATTTTAAAAGTGACCTGAGACTAGAGATTTTGGATTTTAAACCTCTATGACTAACATAGCCAAAAAGACTATTAAAAACCAGTTTTTGCCCTGGCCAGTGTTGTTAAGTGGTTAGAGTGGCCCTGGGACCACAGGGTCACAGGTTTGATTCCCAGTCAAGGGCATGTACCTGGGTTGTGGGTTTGATCCTGGTCCCGGTCAGTGCATGAGTGGGAGGCAATCAGTCGATGTGTCTCTCTTACATCTATGTTTTTCTCTCTCTCCCTCCCATTTGCCCCTTCCACTCTCTCTAAAAAAATCAATGGAAAAATGTCCTCAAGTGACAAAACAAACAAAAAGCCAGTCTTTTGCCATTTATTACTTGAAATCACTCAGTTCCTTTTATTCTCTTTCTTTGCCAGTTGTAGGCTAGATTTTTAGCTGAATTGCAAGCCTTTAGAGTATATCACAAATACGCTAATTATCTGGGTTTCACTATTTGGAGCAGAACTGAGAGGAAAAAAATTTTATGGGGAAAGTTGAAATTAGAATATTTGAAATCATTAATATACCTACTCAGTGTATAACTTTGGGATTTTCTTCATCCAGAAAGCCAAGTGTTGGTGAGCCAAAGTATCTTTGGAAGTACTTAGTAAAGTTTGTTAAACATTTATTAACCACAGATTTCTTCCATAAATATGAAACTCAAACCAGATACATTGGATATGATTATTTATATTAAATATAGGATTTTTTTAAATATATTTTATTGATTTTTTACAGAGAGGAAGGGAGAGAGATAGAGAGTTAGAAACATCGATGAGAGAGAAACATCGATCAACTGCCTCCTGCACATCTCCCACTGGGGATGTGCCCGCAACCCAGGTACATGCCCTTGACCGGAATCGAACCTGGGACCCTTCAGTCTGCAGGCTGACGCTCTATCCACTGAGCCAAACCGGTTTCGGCTAAATATAGGATTTTAAAAGAGATTTTACTTATTCATGTAGGTGCTTTACTAATATTTGAGATTGGTTTTGATAGAGATTTCTGCCTTTGAGAAAGGGCAGTCGGGATATTTAAGGGCTTTGTATTATATTTTAAGAACGATGATTAAGAAATGAAACAAACATCTGAACATACTATGTAAGTCCGTAGATAATGGGTAACTAAAACTTTTTAGGCTGGGCTTACATACACACACACACACACACACACACACACACACACGCGCGCGCGTGCGCGCGTGCATGTATATATATATATATATACTTTAATCCTCACTTGAGGATATTTTTCTTTCTTTTTTAAAAAATACATTTTTATTGATTTCAGAGAGAGGAAGGGAGAGGGAGAGAGAGATTGAAATATCAATGATGAGAGAGAATCATCGATTGGCTGCCTCCTCCACGCCCCCTACGGGGGATTGAGCCCGGTCTGGGCGTGTGCCCTTGACCGGAATTGAACCTGGGACCCTTCAGTCCGAAGGCCGATGTTCTATCCATTGAGCCAAACCGGTTAGGGTGATATTTTCCCATTGATTTTTAGAGAGAGTGGAAGAGAGAGGGAAAGACCGAGAGAAACATCGACGTGAGAGAAACAATAATTGGTTGCCTCCTGCACGCACCCCGACCAGGGCCCCGGGCTGGGGAGGAGTCTGCAACTGAAGTATGTGCCCTTGACTGGATTCAAACCTGGGACCCTTCAGTCCGCAGGCCAATGCTCTATCCACTGAGCCAAACCAGCTAGGACTATATGTGATTTTAAAAGTTAAGTTTATTAGGTATCAGAATTAAACTTGGAGTTGCCATTTTGTCATTTATATGTGTGTTTTTTTAAAATATATTTTTATTGACTTCAGAGAAGAAGGAAGGAGTGAGAGATAGAAACATCACTGATGAGAATCATTGATCCGCTGCCTCCTGAACACCTCTTACTGGGGATCAAGCCCGAAACCCGGGCATGTGCCCTGACCAGGAATTGAACTGTGACTTCCTGGTTCATGGGTGGACGCTCAACCATTGAGCCACACTGGCTGGGCTCATTTATATGTTTTTAAAAGATTATAACTGTTCTTAATTTTATGCTTCCCCAAATCACTAAGCATTATGTAAATACTTTAAAATATTTATTAGGCAGTTATTAATGCGGCAGTGTGTTGTTGAAGAAGTATTAACTATTGGAAACATACTGAGAAAAGGTTAGAATTCTGGCTTCCCCACTTAAAAATTGTGTGCTCCTAGGAAAATGCAGTAAAAACTAGCAGTGCCTCAGTTTGTTGAGTGTAAATTGGTGATAGTATTTGCTGAGTTGATAAGAGGATTAGAGATAATGTATGCAACATTTTTGGCTTTGTGGGTGGTCAACAGATCACCAAAGATGTATGGATGACAAAAAGCACTTGAAATAGTGCTCAGCAACATTAGGTATTAGGAAAATCCAAATTGAAATCAGATGAGATGTCACTATATACTTGTTAGCATGGCTAAAATGTAAAGGGTTGACCATACCAAGTGTAGATGTGGAGGAACTGGAACACTTATATACTGCTGTTGGGAATATAAAATGGAATAAATGCTTCATTAAACAGTTTGGCAGTTTCTTAAAATGTTAAACATAAACTTCCCAGGTGTTCCAGAAACAATCTAAATGACTATCAGTAGGTGAATGAATAAAATTGGTCTATCTATACAATGCACTGCTACATAACATTGAAAAGGAAGGAACTTTTGACACATGCAACATTGAGTGAATCTCAAAATAATTTTGCTGAGTGAAAGAGGCAGACAAGAAAAAAGTATATAGTGTATGATCCCATTTATATAAAACTCTAAAATATGAAAGCTATGCTGACAGAAAACAGTGGGTGGGGTGGAGAGGGAGGGATTACTTATGTGCACAAGAAACGGGATAAGTATGATTTTTATTGGAGAAGGTTCATGGGTATATACATATGTCAAACCATTGAACTGTACATTAAAATATTTGCAGTTTATTGTATGTTAACTATAATTCAGTGAAACTAGTAAAAAAAGGAAAACTACATTTTTTTGTTAAGATGTTTTGTTGTATAGCTGGAAATTGAAAAGTGAGGTTGCAGTAATAAAAACAATATCTTCTAGTATTTGGATAAAGGTTTCACATAAATTATGTTATTGTAATATCAAGCCTCAGGTAGTTGCCGCTGGTATATTTAAAAATATTTTATTTTTTAACATTGAGTGTCAGTCTGCATGTGAATATAAAGGTATTAAGAAAAATGACATTTTCTCCTTTTTTCTCTCCCTCCCGCGCCCCCCCCCCCCGCCTTTTTTAAAAAGGAGTGACAGTTCATTCCGATTCTTTGTATTCTTCTTCGTCTATATTTGTCAGTTTGCCGTACATGTACTACAGGCTGCAGGATTTCACAACTGGGGCAACTGGTAAGTCATTTTATTACTCTAGTTAATCTGTTCATCTTGTATCTTTATGTAATTTTTGGCTTCCTAAAAATAGTTAACAGAGAAAAGCCACATTAGCAAAAGGAAATAAATAAAAGTAAAAATTGCAGTTTTTAGTATTTAATTTTCTAAGACATAACCTTTTGAAAAACCATTCTATTTGAAAATTATGTTCCCATTTTTAAAATTGGCACATTATATCTAGTTTAAATAAAATGTGTATATCATGGGCACTAAGAGGAAAATTTGTAAAAAGGAGACTGAGGAGTGATCAGATAGGAAGGCCAAGGACAGTGGAAGGGAGAGAAAAGAAATTCAAGGGTTTTAAGGAAAAGGGACCTATTATGTGTAAAGCACTATTTTAGGTATTACAAACCTGTTTTCATATACACACACATGTGCATGGACATATGTCTTTGAAGAGTGGAATCACTGCATCACATACATACATATATATTTTCTTTTTTATTGAATTTATTAGGGTGACATTGGTTAGTAAAATTATATAGGTTTCAGGTGTATAATTCTATAATACATCATCTGTATATTGTATTGTGTGTTCACCACCCCAAGTCAAGTCTCTTTCCATTACCATTTATCTCCCTTATACTAACTCTTCTACCTCCCCCACCTCCCTTCCCTCTGGTAATCTCCATACTGTTGTCTATGTCGATGAGTTTTCTTCTTCTTCTTGTTTTTTTCTTAATCTCTTTACCTTTTTCACCTAGCCCCACAACCCCTCCTCCCCTCTTACAGCTGTCAGTCTGTTCTCTATCTGTGAGTCTGTTTCGATTTTGTTTTTTAGTTTATTTTGCTGATTAGATTCTACATATGAGTGAAATCATATGGTACTTGTCTTTCTCTGACTGGGTTATTTCACTTAGCATAACACTCTTCAGGTCTATTCATGCTGTCACACAAGGTAAGATTTCCTTCTTTTTTTATAACCAAATAGTATTCCATTGTATAAATGGGCCACAGCTTTTTTATCCACTTATCTACTGATGGACACTTCATCTGCTTCCAAATCTATACATATATTTTTAAATAATATAATCATTCTCCATATGACAAAATGGTCACTTATTAGGAGGTCCTAAGAAGTGGACACTATTTGGACCCAGGCTAGGAGGTAATAGCAGATTTATATCTCCCTTCATACACTGTGGAGCAAACACTCCTTGAATGAAACAACAGATGGAAAAGAGCACATCTCTAAAATTATCTCCCTCTCTGAAATCAATATATGTGTGTGTGTGTGTGTGTGTGTATATATATATATATATTTATTTATTTTTAAGAATTCAACTTTAAATTTGTAACTCAAGTTATAAAAGAAAGAAGAGAGAATCATCGATAGACTGGATAGACTGCCTCCTATATACCCCCTACTGGGGATTGAGCCCACAACCCGGGCATGTCCCCTGACTGAGATTCCAACTGAAACCCCCAGGTTCATAGATGGACATTCAACCACTGAGCAACACTGGCCTGGCACAATTGAGTTTTTATAAGATAAGAGCATATTCTGGGCAAATTTACTGCAGTGTACATAAACTAAAATGAGCATGTAACTACAGTGTATTGAGGACTTACATTTAGTATGCTACTACTGAATTGGAGTAGTGACTGGCAATCAGATAACTTTCGGTAGCTTTGCAGATCTAATGCAGATAATATATTGATATTTTAAGTCCTAGGAAAAAGCATTCATTATCTTTTTTATTTTTTAAGATTTTAAAAAAATGTTTTTATTTCAGAGAGGAAGGGAGAGGGAGAGAGAGATAGAAACATCAATGATGAGAGAGAATCATCACCCAGCTGCCTCCTGCATGCCCCCTATTGGTGATCAAGCCCACAACCTAGGCATATGCCCTGACTGGGAATCGAACTGTGACCTCCTGGTTCATGGGTCAATGCTCAACCACTGAGCCAAATAGGCCGGTGCATTCATTAACATTTTAAATAGTGCTTAGTCTTTGGCATTTGAGGAAATGTTTTAAATATTTAATTAAGAAATACTGCTTATGTTAAAAGCACAAGTTTTTTTTAATTATGAAATTGAAGTAATATTTTACTCTTTAGCACAAACTTTGAAAAAGTGTTAAAATTGAGCACAACAGCATGTGCAGTAATGAAATAGCACAGGAGTCTGCAAGTGAGTGTGCATGTAGGATGACCTATTTTAAGATGAATCTCATGTAATTCAGCAGATTTAAACTATTTGAGTTAATTGTAGATTTACATACAATTATAAAAAAAATAATTCAGAGAGATCCCAAGTATTCTTTCCCTAGTTTCCCCAGTGGTAATATCTTGGTCAAACTATGGTATAGTACCAAAACCAGGATTATGACATTAAGTCAGGATAGAGAACACTTCATCACCAAAGGATCCCTCATGCTGCCCTTTTATAGCCACATTCACTTTCCTCCTGCTCCGATTCCCTCCTTAACGCCAGCAATCACTAATATGTTCGTCATTTCTGTTATTTTGTCATTTCAAGAATTATATAAATGGAATGATATAAATTATATAAATGGAATTATACATTGTGTAACTTTTGGCTTTTTTCCCCTCAGCATCATTCTTAGGCGGTTCATTCAGGTTGTTGTGTGTATTTATTCCTGAGTAGTATTTCATGATATGGATGTACCACAGTTTGTTTAACCAGAGTTGAAGGACTTTGGAGTTCCTAGTGTTTGGGCTATTATGAATAAAGTCACTATAAACATTTGTGAACATAAATTTTTATTTCTCTGTGATAAATACCGAAGATTGTAATTGTTGGTTCATATGGAAGTTGCATATTTAGTGTTTTTTAAGAAACTGACCGTTTTCCAGAATGGATGTACCACTTTACATTCCTACAAACTATGTGTGAGTGATTCAGCCTCCACATCTTCACCAGCATTTGGTATTGTCACTGATTTTACTTTAGCCATCCTGATAGGTGTGTAGTGATATCTAATTGAGGTTTTAATTTGTATTTCCCTAATAACTCATGATGTTGAACATCATTTCATGTGCATATTTGTGATCTTTGTATCCTCTTTGTGAAATATATCTTCATGTTTTTTTGCCCATTTTCCTATCAATTTTTTTTTTTTTTTTTTACTGTTGAGGTTTGAAAGTTCTTTATATATATTCTGGATGCTAACCCTTTGTTGGATATATGGTTTGCAAATATTTTCTTCCATAATTAAGCAGAATTTAAAATGAACTTTAAAAGAAAGTAATAATGAACTCCTAGGCTTAAAAAATATAAAATCTGATGGTATACACTTAAGGCTGGAGGTTGATATCTGGGTTTGAATTCATACTATGCCATTTAGCTGTATGACCTTGGGCAGGTACTGAATAGCTCAGTGACTCAGTTCCTCACCTGTAAAATAGAGATTAAAAACAGCATTATCTTATAGGATTGTTGTGAGAATTAAATGAGTTAACATGTATAAAGAACAAGAACATTGCTTGGTTCATAAGAGCTGAATATATGTTAGTTGTTAATGTTATTTTTTAATGTGCATTGATTTATTTACCTAATTATACTTTCTTTTTGTTACTTCATAGTGGTTGGATTTCATCCCTTACTGGTCTCAACAAAAGTATTCCTGTTGGAATCATGATGATAATCATAGCAGCACTTTTCACAGCATCAGCAGTCATCTCACTAGTTATGTTCAAAAAGGTAAATGAAATTTTATGTCTGCAAATTTTTATAGTGAAACTCATTTTCCTATTTTGCTCTTATTGTAACCTCAAGCCATTTTTTTTGTTCTTTTTGTGCAAGTTTTCTCTCTGAGGATTACTTTTTACAATTAATAGTTAATGCATAGATATATTTTTGAAAATTGCATCACATTTTTAACTTCCTGTAAAAAGGAAATGTTTTAAAATCCTGTTAACTGAAGGCTTTTTGCATTAACTGAAGAGTCAACCTTATTTTTAAAATTTGGATTATTTAAAAATATTCTGATTTCTTTTTTGAATATTAAATATATTAGCCTGATTAATGAAGTGTGATGTGTGCATTTTATTTGTATTTAAAATGTAAAGACACTAAATTATTTATATAAGGTGTAAAGTGAGCTAGTGACAGGTTCAGGCTGGGTTATGACATGAATTTTTGTTTTTAGTGACTGCTCAATTTTCTACACTTCTTCCTATTGAATTCCCATGGCTGTTTTCACAGCCTTAAAAAAAATCATTACATAGTGTAGGAGAGAAATCCGTGTTTTTATTTATTTATATAAAGTTTAATGGTGTTTTATGATGCATTACAGAAATGTTTTCTATTCTACATGTGTTCAAACTTGATATAGAAACCCTTGAAATAACACCTATGTTTTAAAATGATAGACTTTTGATAGGTCTCACTCTGAAGAAAATAAGTCTATACAACATTTTTCTTTATTTTTTAATGCCCAGTTAATTGAGATATGTACAAGGAGTGGATAGAAATAATTGTACTTTATATTTAAGAACACTCTGTACTCTTGAAATATTTTACTTGTACATTTGCCTTTTGTCCTTCTCAAAACTCGCTGAAGGTTAGACTATTTTTTTTCTGTCCAAATTTTGCTATTCATTTTCTGTTAATAAAGCTTTTATTTTCTGAACTACACACACATACTATTGAAACTCAGCTTTCTAAAGCTACTGAATCCTAGTCATTTTGCATTCTTCCTCCTCTTTGAAGCCTTCTGTGCTATAGGTGGCTCCTCTTCCTCAGTCTTCATAATTATGTTCTGATTCTTCTGCCTCTGAGCCTATTCTTTCTCTTTCATTTATTTCTTTGTCCAGTTCATTAGTAAAAGTCTTCTTAAATGCAGTCAGTTCACTGATTTTTGTGCTGTAAAATCTAAAGACCTCCAAACAAACCTAGCACTCTGAAGATTTTTGAAGTGGACATGGGGTGGGAAATGGAATTGTGGTGAATGTGGGAGGTAGGACTAGTCCTTTTCACAGCTCCTGGATCCAGACTTTCTACTCTAGTCAAACTGTACTATGTATTCAGTTTCTTAAAAATACATCCTGCAGCTTCCTTTGCCCCAGTTCATGCTATGCTTCTTAACTTTCAGGTTGCTTCATCTCTACTAGTGTTCTTTCAAGCACTTGTTCAAATCTTCCTGCCTCTTCCACAGAATCTTTCTTAGGGATTATGTCATCCTCTATTTTATCGGGGAACTTGCTGTCTGTATTACACACTGGGATCTGGGCATAAGCCACTTTATGTACCTTATAGTGCACATTTTCTGGATACCCAGCTTGTTAAATTCCTCCACAGTGAATATATCTTGTTGCATTGGAATTAAATGAGAAGAGCTTTGGAACCACACAACTCAGGTCAAAAATCTGACATCTTCACATACAGCTGTATGGACTGAGGCATGCTTCTGTAACCGCTCAGGTTCATTACCTTCACCCATACTCTAAGCTCCATGGCAGCGGGACCTAGTCTGTGTGCTTTCAGGCTGTATTCCTCACATTTAGAACAGTGACTGGCAGTGATTGGCATGTGATAGGTATATATATAGGTTGAATGAATGAGAATAACTGCTACTTTTATGGGGTTGGTGTGAGGATTGAATGAAATAATGAATGTAAATTGCATAGCACAGGGCCTCAATTGAAATTAATGTTCTTTTCTGGTCTTTTGACCTCTTTATCATGTTATATTCAGGGTCTGGTCTGATGTGTAGTTTTGTTGAGTAGGTGCTTGTATCAGTCAGTGTTCCATCAGAGAAACAGAACAGAATAAAGCTATTTATTGAGATGAATTGGCTTATGTGGTTGTGGGGGTTGGCCAGATCAGTCTGAAACCCACAGATGGGCGGTCAGGAAGGGTTGTAAGCTCAAGCAGAAGCTGAAGCTCTAGTCCACAGGTGGGATTTTTTTCTTTCTCAGAAAAACCTCAGTTCTGTTCATAAGGCATTTTAACTAATTGAATCAGGCCCACCCAGATCATTCAAGATATTCTCTTTTTCTCAGAGTGAACTGATTATAGATGATAACCATATATGCAAAATACCTTCACAGCAACACCTAGATTAGTGTTTGGTAACTGGAGAGTATAGTCTGACCATTATAACATCTCTTTGGACAATTTATTCCAAATATATCATAGGGTATGCTTTCTAAAACTAGAAATGTAATAAATTTAGAGTACAGTAGAGGGTTTTGTGGTATGTTGCAGGTTCCATTCATTTGTTAAACAACCATTGAAGAGTATGTGTTAGTGTGCCATATGCTCAAGGAGTTCACATTGTGGTGTGGAAGAGAAACAAATGAATGGGTATCAGAATCCAATGATTTAGTGGCCATTGTGTGGCCAAATATAGGGAGCACACAGGAGGGACATCTAACTAAGTTTTGGAGATCTCTTTTAGTAGTGAGGTCTTTTTGTATTGCCTTGGGTGAGAGATCATGATGAACAGGAGTTACCTAAGTAAAGGATTAACGGGGAAGGAGAGGATAAGTAGGTACCAGGTAGCAGGGATACCATTTTCATATCTAGCTGCAGGGAATAGCATGGTATATACAGGGAATTAAAAGTAGCTGAGAATGGATGGGAAATAAGCTTGGTGCTTGAGTCCTGCAAGGAGAAAGTGAGCTGTTGGTGGTAGAGGAGAGGTAAAGATGAGGCTGAAAAAGTAAGTGTACTTTTATTCTGTAGGTCTTGTAAACTAAGAAACCTTGTTAAGAAATTTGGATCTTGCCCCAGCCAGCTTGGCTTGGTGGATAGAGTGTCGGCTTGCGGACTGAAGGGTCCCAGGTTTGATTCCCGTCAAGGGCACATGCCTGGGTTGTGGGCTCGATCCCCAGTAGGGGGCGTGCAGGAGGCAGCCAATCAATGATTCTCTTTCATCATTGATGTTTCTCTCTCTCTCTCCCTCTTCCTTCCTCTCTGAAAACAATAAAGAAATAAAATAAAAAAGTAATAATAATAAAAAGAAGAAATTTGGATCATCTCCAAAGAGTAGTGGTGGGCCATAGAAGAGGTTCAAAGAGGAGAGCAGTTGAATTGATCTGATTTGAACTTTAGAAAGACTATTCAGAAATAGATTTGGGATTTGTGGGGCACCAATGTGGTACTTAGAGAAATTAAGACTTGGAGATAAGCTAGGAAGCTGGTTACTAACTAGAAAGTAATGATGGTAGCCTAAACTGAGAAAGTGGCAGTAAAGTAACCGTAGCACGGGGAAAATGAGCAGGTAGTGATTGATTTGACTTGGGCCTGGAAGTGGGGGATGAGGGAAGACTCAAGGATGACAACCCAGTCTTTTAGATGGTGGGTCATTCAGAAAGAGAGCATCAAGATGTTTTCAACTTTACACATGGAGAGTTTAAACTTCTAGAGGGGCCTTAAAGTGTAATTAATCACTTTGTAGGCTTTTGGATAATAAGTTGGGAGCAAAGGCAAGAGCTTTAGGCTGGATTTCTAGACTTGGGAAGTATTGACTTCTTGATGTAAATGGAACATAGAAGGTGAATATGAAGTGAGAAGAGGGTCTAGGGTAGAATACTCCCAGCAATTAAGAATCTACTGAGGGAAGAATGTGGAAGAAATTTTAACCAGCAGTGGTGGTGGTGGGGAATGTGTGGCATAGATGCTTAATAGAGTCAGAGTGTAGAGGAAGTGTTTATTTTGCAGCTGCTGTGTAACTGACTGCTGTGTGCAGCACTCTAGTCTTTGACCTGCAATGTTTTTCCCCAGGTAACAATTCTTCAGGATCCAGTTGCATGAAAAGAAAGGTTTTAGAGCTGTGCTTGTTGTATTCCAGGCAGTCAAAAGAAGTATGACTGCTTCTCAAATCAGTATATTGATATGGAAATTGTACAACATACTATATTTTGGTTGGCTTTTTTTTTCTGTTACTACATAATTAAAGAAGTTCCCAGTTATTTCTTTTTTATATGTGTTCACTGTCTTTCAGTCTGTATAAGCTTTTAAACTTATCTGAATCTCATAGTCTTTATCTGTGAAAGAAGGAATTTAGATGAGATGATTTTGTGACGTACAGTCAATGGGGATAATATAAGCTAAAATGTGATTTGAGCTAGCTTTCATATTTGTAATGGCATAGATTTCTCTTACTTTGATAGAAATTGAGATCCGATAAAAGCACCTAATTTTTTTCTTTTTCACTTGCTCAAAACTGGCTGTTTAAAAAAAAAAAAAAAAAAAAATTGGCATTATGTAGCCATAGTTTATAACCACTAGGGGTCAGGCTCTTCATAAACCCTCTAAAAGTTATCTGTGCACACACTATTTTAACTCTAGAATTGTTGTTTTATTTGGCTATTTTGTGTTTCCATCCCTAGCTAAACACATTCTGTGATATATGTTTATTGCTCTTATAGTGAATACAATTTTGAGAATTTTGTTGGCATTCTGATATCTTGTATAGTTGGAGTAGGTAATCATTGGTATGTAGAATTCCCAGTATGAACATTATGGTAACTTAACATTGTTTCCCTCGTAGCATCATCTTACAATCCAAATTTTAAAAAAATTGAAATGCAAGAATACCTGTCTCTTGTACCTCTTCTTAAATGAGGGAATAGTTCAGCCTGTACCTTTCACAGATAGATTTCTTAAAATTTTCATTAGATTATTTCTAAATGATGTTTTGTTTTTTAAATATCTTCTTTCTATAGTAAATGATTAGAATTGAATAATAGTTT